GTAACGGCTCTCACATTCTTAATACGCTCTTGATATAGATGTAGCAGTGATGACATTTTGTAAAAAAAAGAGATGGAAAAGTCATAATGAATTGTTTGAAGGTCCCGCCACCCCTGGCAAGGTTGCGGTCAAGGTGAGGGCAAAACAAACTAATATGTTGTTATTATAGGCTGCATCCTGGCACAGGGACGAGTCACGACGACCAGCATCGTGTGACACCACGGCACACCCAGCATGTGTGACACCACGCACACCCAGCATGTGTGACACCACGCACACCCAGCATGTGTGACACCACGCACACCCAGCATGTGTGACACCACGCGCACCCAGCATGTGTGACACCACGGCACTACACCAGCATGGTGTGACACACGCACGACCGCAGCATGTGTGGGCAGCCAACGCACACCCAGCATGTGTGACACCACCCACCAACACCAGCATAGTGTGGCACCACGACACACCCGAGCATGTTGTGACAACCCTGACGCACACCGCCAGCATGTTGGTGACAACCACGCCACACGACCAATGCATAGTGTGATACACGCACAACCCAGCATGTGTGAAAACCACGGCGCGACGTGAGGAGCCAGCATGTCGTGACACACGCCCACACTAGCCAGCATCGTGTGACACCACCGCACACCAACCCAGCATGTGTGGCAACCATCGCACACCCAGCATGTGTGACACCACGCACACTAGCCCAGCATGTGTGGCACCAAGCGCACAGCCCAGCATGTGTGGACACCACGCACACAGCCAGCATGTGTGTACACCCACGCACTCGCCCTCCACTCACCAGCCGCTCTCAGTGACCGTCAACGACATGACCATCTTCATGACCTCGATCTCGGCGTAGGCCTCGCTCGCAAACACGTGACCCCCGTCCTCCACCAAGTACTGTATCAGCTTGCCTGCCGACGGTGACCTGTGTGTGACGTCACAGCAAGCAGGAATGACGTCAATTTCATTTCATTAATGCTATTTATTCGAGGGAGAGCAAGCAATGCTATGTCAGGAACGACATCAATTTCAACGGTAACTATATTCACTGCAGGGACGGCAATCAACGTGACTTCAAGAATGTCGTTAGTGTCATTGCAAACTTTTCACTGGAGGAAGGAGTTGGTGGTCTAGTGGATAAGCACACTTGCTTTTGGGCTGAATGTTTTGGGACACTTATTAATTGCTGCCCACTTGCTGGACATCGTTATTGCTTCGCGGGAAACAATAGTAAAAATTAGTGAAATCTAGGTTTGAAGAGTTTAGAATACAGAGATGATTTTTAGCGCATAACTACAATATATTGCAAATCTCACATCGGCAGCCACACTTGTCACTTAACACTTATCAGTTAACACTTGTCATTTGTCACTTAGCACTTTTTTTCACTTGATGCTTGTCACTTGTCACTTGTAGTTTGACATGTCACTTGTAGTTTGTCACTTGTCACTTGTAGTTTGACACTTGTCACTTGTCACTTGTAGTTTGTCACTTGTCACTTGTAGTTTGACACTTGTCACTTGTCACTTGTAGTTTGACACTTGCCGATCATTGTCCTGTAGGTGACTTGTTTGTCACGAGTTTTGTCACTTGTCATCACTTGTGCGTTCACCTGGACTGCATGCGTGGATGCTGGCCTGTCAACCTACCTCAGCACGCGCGATCGTGTCCTTCTGAAGACGCACGTCTGGTGCCCGATGACGACGCGATACTGTCCGACATCCTCTCGCATGGTACGTCGTGCCGTTGACTAGCGCCCCTACTGAGCAAGCAGCATGCGCCGTCACTCATCTGCCACAGCATGAAGCAGACGAGGTGCGATCGTCAGCTTACAAACCAACTTATCTGAGTGCTATCTAGTATACCTATACAACGTATTCGCCAGCCGAGCCGTTGCAGCGCTGATTTGCCACGTCAGTTTTTGAAACTGCACATACCAAAAAATGTTTAACACTTTAAACATAAAAAATGTACCAATTTTCTTGGTGGTCATAGGCAAGACAAAAAAAATTTGCACTCCCAAATATTTTTTCTGCACTCCCACAATATCATTCCTGCCTAATAGGTAAGTGAAGCGGTGGCGGTCGGGGCAGATGGTGGGTGGCGGGCGTGGGTGGCATAAGTGGGTAACGATTTGTTAGGTCTGCAGTCTATGGTGGAGCCCGCTTCATACACAGCAGGTAGCTGATGTGGGGGGCGGGTCGAGGCGAGGGTGGTGGCGAGGGCTAGCGGGTTGGCGGGGGTGGTAGGTGAGCGTACTGTTGTAGGTCTGCGTCTATGGTGGAAGCCGTTCATACACAGCAGGTAGCTCGATTGGTGGCGGGCGGGTCGGGGAGGAACGTCGGCGGCGCGCGTGGTGGTGGGGGGAGGGTAGTGGCGGGGCGTGGTTCTACGGGATGACGTAGCTTGTGTAGCGTCTGCCGTCTTAATGGTGGAGCCGTGTCATACAACAGCAGGTAGGCTGATGCTGGGGGCGGGTCGGGGGTCGAGGTGTGGCGGGGCGAGTGGTAGGGCGGGGGAGGGTGGTGGGCGGAGGCGGTGTGCGTAGGGTGACGTACGTGTGTAGTCGCGTTCTATTGGTGCGAGCCGTTCATTTACACAGCAGGTAGTGCGGCTGGTGCGGGGGTGTTGGCGGGGTGGAGGGAGGTGGTGGCGGGTGGGAGGGTGGTGGGCGGCGCAGTGGTGGGGCGTTAGCCCGGGTGACGTTACTTGTGTAGGTCTGCGTTCTATGTGGCAGCCGTTCATACACAGCAGGTAGCTTGATGGTGCGGGGCGGGTCGGGGGGAGGTGGTGGCTGTGGCGCGGGGAGGTGCGTTGGGCGGGGGGAGGTCGGTGGGCGGGGCAGGTGTACGGGTGACTACTTTTGGTAGGTCTGCCGTCTATTGCGTGGGAGCCCGTTCATCACAGCAGGTAGCTGATGGTGGGCGGGTGGACGAGCGGTGGGGTCGGGGGGGAGGGTGGTGGGTCGGCGGGAGGGTGGTGTCGGGAGAGGGAGGTCGTGAGTTGTGGTGCGGCGGGGAGGGTGGTGGCGGGGCGGTGGTAGCCGCTGGTTGCGTTACTTGTGTAGGTTCTGCGTCGTATGGTGGAGCCGGCTTCATACACAGCAGGTAGCTTGATGTGGTGGCGGGGGTGTCCGGGGGAGGGTGGTGGTCGGGGGGAGGGTGGTGGCGGGGGCGAGGGTCGCTGGCGCGGGGCGGTGTGGAGGCGTTGACGTACTTGTGTAGGTCTGCGTCTATGGTGGAGCCGTTCATACACAGCAGGTAGCTGATGGGGGATGACTTTGATGCGGCGACCTTGTACTTCCAGCCGTCCATTATCAACTCTACCTCACACGTGTCTTGTCAGCGTCTTCGCCGACTGCACCTGCCCCCTGCAACGAACGCGCGAGGCAGAGAGATGTTCACTTCTTTTCATGCAAATAAATGCGCAAGAGGGTGAGATGTTCACTTATTTCATGCAAACCAATGGGGGGGGGACGGAGAGATGTTCACTTATTTCATGCAAACCAATGGGGGGGGGACGGAGAGATGTTCACTTATTTCATGCAAACAACTGCACAAGAGGGTGAGATGCTCACCTGTTGCACGAAAATGAACGCGCATGGTAATACACATTTGCTTATTTTTTTATGAGAATGAACACACGAGATATAGAGATCCTAACTTGACACAACAATTTCAACAATCAACTGATAGCCGGCAGCAGTTACGACTCCTCGCCTATCTCTCCCCGACGCACGCAGCAGCATGTGATCGTGACCCCATGACCTTGCAACCCCTTGACCCCGTGACCTCACGACCCCATGACCTTGTACCTCTCTAGCGACAGCTGGAAGTTGTGAAAGGTGCTGCGGATGCTCTGGTCAGCAACATGGAGGACGCCACATATCACGCCGAGCATCCTGTCTGGCTTCTCCGCCTGCAGGGGGCGCAACGTGTCGCACCAGTCGACAAAAAACAACAGAACGTCAAGCCGAGAAACAAATAATTGTGTAATTTTTTTTAGGAGGAATATTTTCATTCATTTACCTATTCGATTATTCTACCACTTTTTATACGACTATAACATTTATTGTCTTTGTTCCTCGGCTTATAACTCCATGGCATCAGCTGATAAGCTTGTCGAACCCCCACGAGGTATAGTTACAGTGGATCTACATAGAGACGACCCATCCACTGACTACACATTCATTCATGTATTTGCTCATATTTTAACAAACAAGCGTGAGAGTGTGAGAGTGATCTTGAGTGACCCCCCCCCCCCCACCACCACCACCCACCGAAATCCCTCCGCGCGCGCTGCGTCGCGTGGTGGCAGCACCTGCACTTTCTCTGCGATGAGCATGTCCAACCACTCGGTGTCGATCTGGTTGTGTTGGAAGCTGTCCGTCTCCAGCAGCTTGGTGAGGTACTCTACCGTTGTGCGGAAGTCGCCGCGTATAGACAGCTCCTTTAGTGAGATGACGAGGTTCCTGCAGAGGTCGCGTGAAGGTCGTTAACACATGGTCGTCGATCAGTCAACCGTAATTGATTATCTGTTATTTTTTCTTTAGATGTTTATTTTTCAATTTGATTGGATTGATTGATGACAATAATTAATTTTAATTAATTTAAAAAATTAATTGTTAATTATATAATTATAAATAAAAACGAAAATATAATACATCGCAAATATCACTGTGCACACATACACACCCACACACACACACGCACGCACGCACGCACGCACGCACACACACACACACACAATACACGCACATGCACACGCACACACAGAGACAGACACACGGCACGCACACACGCACGCATACACACACACACACGCACACACACTGACACTTACTCTCTCGCGTCCTCCCGCGTGCCTCCCCACGAGAAACAATGGCCGAACTGCGAGTCAGCGAACTCGTGCAGGCCACCAGAGGCCGCCACGCTGAAGTAGCCCCACACATTCTTGCTGCTGCGGAAGTTCAGCTCCTGTACTGTACCCGAGCTAGGCTTGAAACCCTAAACGCAAAACACAGTGACAGCCTCTACTCGCATATCAATCAATGATTGATTGATGATTGATTGATGATTGATTGATGATTGATTGATGATTGATTGATGATTGATTGATGATTGATTGATGATTGATTGATTATCAATCATCATTTCACGGTCTCTCGCAGAGTAATCGTGCGTGTTGCAAGTTCGTCATAGTTGAAATGATGAATATTATGCACACCGCAACAACTGTGCTGTGTATCAAGCAAGACTTGGGTGCGTTGACGGTCAATCTAAACAAAACACACCATTCCTAGCATCTGATTTCATTGCTAGGGCGTAAAACCCATCAATTTCCAGAGTGGCGGGTAATGTAGTAAAAGCACGGTGGGAGCATAATGGAGATATAGTACTGGTGGAGTGCAGGGCACATATAACACAGGCGTGCGAGCGAAACTCCCTACTCTGCTCCCCTCACAGTCTCAACCGTTCGATTCTAATTTCTACTGACACTGAAGTAAAGACCTTTTTTCTCAGAACCAAGCTTTCGTGTATCTTTCTGTCTACAGCGACACATACTACAGTTTCTTGCTGCGAGATACGGCGCGTAACACATTTTGCCACAAATAAAACCAGACACCATCCCAGTGTGTCGTCAGCGAAATTAAGACACAACAACAACAACAACAACAACAACAACAACAACAACAACAACGTCAGAGGAGAGTAAAACCCGTCCCCGTGCGTTTCACAACGCCGGCGAATGAGGGCGCCACCGTACCTCATCGGGGTTCTCGCTCGTGATGCGTGCGGCGATGACGTGTCCTCGTGGCATCGGACGCACGCGCGGCGATTCAAAGTCGATCGGTGTGTTCGACCACGGCTGCTCTCCGTACATCGTTCGGATGCACTTGATGTGGTGCATGGGTATGCCCATCGCTATCTGTAACAACATAGGAGAGAGAGTGTCATTAATGATGGGTTAGATACAGGGAGTTAAGTACATGATGCACTTAATGTGGTGCATGGGTATGCCCATCGCTATCTGTAACAACATAGGAGAGAGTGTCATTAATGATGGGTTAGATACAGGGAGTTAAGTACATGATGCACTTAATGTGGTGCATGGGTATACCCATCACTATCTGTAACAACATAGAAGAGAGAGTGTCATTAATGATGGGTTAGATACAGGGAGTTAAGTACATGATGCACTTAATGTGGTGCATGGGTGTGCCCATCGCTATCTGTAACAACACAGTGGATAGGGTCGTTAATGCCAGAGATTGTTTACGGGATATGTATTGCACTGAGATAGCTACCAAGGTAACACTGTGTCAATGCCGGATTACATGGAGGGTGGATGGTGGGATAGTTACAGAGTGTAACTAGTATACAGATAGATAGTTACAGAGTATAAACTTGACATTGTAAACTGGGATGCCCATCATATTATCTGTAACTACACGAGGGGCGGTTGTGTTCATGCTGGGGGTTATATAGAAGATGTACAGTTGTAGGATACTACAGGGAGTTATGTAGATGAGGTGTAACACTGATGTAGCTATACAGTATCGCACCTGTAGCTGTGCTGCTGGTAGATTAACGTCTGCCACCATCTCTGTACACGGATGCTCCACCTGCAGTCTCGGGTTCAGCTCGAGGAAGTAGAAAGTGCCATCCACCTCGTTGTATAGGTATTCTACTGTGCCTGCACTCACGTAGCCCACCATGCGTGCCAGCTTCACAGCAGCCTGCATAACACACACACAATGTCACACATCATTGTACAGGTATTCTACTGTGCTCGCACTCACGCACACACGCACACACGCTCGCACTCACGCACGCACGCACACACATCGTTGTACAGGTATTCTACTGTGCCTGCACTCACGTAGCCCACCATGCGTGCCAGCCTCACAGCAGCCTGCATAACACACACACAATGTCACACATCATTGTACAGGTATTCTACTGTGCTCGCACTCACGCACACACGCACACACGCACCTACACTCGCACTCACGCACACACATCGTTGTACAGGTATTCTACTGTGCCTGCACTCAAGTAGCCCACCATGCGTGCCAGCCTCACAGCAGCCTGCATAACACACACACAATGTCACACATCATTGTACAGGTATTCTACTGTGCTCGCACTCACGCACAC